GAGAAAATGGGAGGTGTCCCTGCCCATGGCAGGGAGGTGGAACAAAATGATCTTTAAGGTCCCTTTCAACCCAAACCATTCATGATTCGAAGTGTAGTTTGAACCACCCTTGACCTCTCCTGTTTTGAAGGAAGGGCTGGTCAGGGGAGCTCGCAGAGCTCGGCTGGTGGGGGTTGTGCTGAGCACAGCAAGTGCTGATACCGGCAGAGCCTAAGCCCTCAGCAGCTCGCCAGGAATCCAAAAGGCTGGATGGTCTGTGAAACAGCTCCTCAGAGGTCCCAGGAAACACCCAAAGGTTAGGGCAGAACCACAGGCAATTGGGCAGAGCATTATTGGCCTCGCATAGCTCGAATACCGAAAAAACGAGTCACCTCCCACTCTCCCCTCAGATGATGCGAGGAGATGCCTGCGATCGAAACAGATGGTTTTCTCCTTTTCCTCGGATGTCCGGGGCTGGGTCCTGCACGGGAGCCGGAGCCGGAGCCGACCACCACCCGTTAATTCGCATCCAGGAAAGGGAAGGTAACTGATCCAGGAGACGGGCAGCGATTGTATCCATGACAACCAGCAGATATGGCCTCGCTGCTCCTTCCCCATCGCCTTCCCAGGGCACAGCCCGGCTCCGACGGGTCCCTCTCCTCGAGGCACCTCTTGGCTGCAGTTCAGCGTTCCTCAGAGACACGCACAAAATCCACAAATTAAGCACATTTCCCGGAGCCAACGCAGCAGAATTCCCTGGCCTGAGCTGCGTGTGCCTCACCGAGGGGCTCCCTGGGAGGGGTTTCGGGAGATCCGGGTGAGGGGATGGTTGTGGTTTACACAAACACAGCGCAGGAGCGGGGTGGGCTTGGCAGACTGAGAGAGAGTCTGCAGAACCAGCAGGCAAAATGCAATTTATTCTGCTGGAAAAAAAAAAAAAAGGGGGGGGGGGGGGGGAAGGGTTTAGATACGTCAATCCCTTCAGAAATGCAGGTGAGCTGAGCACCGGAATGTGATTTCCACCTATGCAGGAATGTCAGCAGAGGTTAAAGGTGTTTGCTCTGTGAATAAGCCTCAGTCTGCACAATCCCTGTCCGGGGGAATGGGAGCTGCCTGGGCTGCGCTTCCCTAAGAGCTCTGCATCCCGCTGCCCGCTGTGGTGCAGTTCCTGCATTCCAACCGCTGCCTGGACCTGCCTTGGGAAACGCTGGCATTTGAGAGGCAGCTGCAATCGCAGCCGGTGCTGGGGAACGGAAAGAAATCTGTCAGGAAAGCAAAAAGCTGTTTCTCTCATTTCCAGGGGCCCCTGCTTTATATCTTCAACGTGGTTTGCACCACGCTGTGGAAGAATGTTCCAGGGATCAAAACAGGGTGATCCATCATCTCTTCCTCCATGGTGGCAAAAACAAAGCAGAAGAGGCAAAGAAATGAGATGGTGAATAGAGAGCTGGGGTTTAGAAGACAGGAGCTGCCCTGACATTTCAAGGGAGACTCAGTTTCCCTGTGAGGACACTGGGACAAGAATGAGCTCTGGAACCAATTAGTCAATATTAGAAGTACAAAGAGCTCTAATTAATTGACTGTCTTAGCAGATTAAGTCTGTAAATTGTAGCAGACATTTGTCTGTGGCAGACATTTGGGACTCAGCCTTGTGAGTTCTTGTGCCTTGTGAGGTTTTTGCATTTCCTTGTGTGTGTGTAAAAGCACGTCCCTGGATTTGGAAAAAGGATCTGGTGAGCCACGGGAGCACTGTGTGGTGATGAGGAGAATCACTTGGCCAGCTCTTGGAATAACGAGGGAAAACTGGATCTGGTGAGGATATGGACCAGCCTCCATCCCCTCTGGAACAGCTTCTTTGGGGCTGTTCTGGTTTGGGCTGGGATAGAGTTAATTTTCTTCTTAACTGGCTTAACGAATGTTGTCAGCCCCTCTGCAAAGGAAAACGTTACCCAGCCAGCTGCAGAGGCAAAAATATCCACAACTGTATTTGAGGACGATTTGATGGGTTTAAAACCAAACTAAAACCCGCAGCACTTTGAATTTTCAGTGAATGCAGCACTGACAAAGGATCCAGCTGATCCTGAGTCTCTGTTTACCACAGCAGCAGCTCTCCCCAGCCTGCAACTGTCTCAGAAAAATGCCAGTCTATATGTTTTAATCACTGTATTTAGCCATGACAGTCACCCAAACAGCAGATTTTGCTTTCCCTACCCTGATCCAGGATCAGGGATGCTTTTTATAGCTGTTCTTTGACTGGAAATACACCCTGGGGGACACCACTGCCTCAATTTCTCTTACCCTGACATCCTGCCCTGGACTTAGCAGCAATCTCCTGAGGCACGTTTCACCTTCTGTTAATCCAGCTAGGATTCAGCATTATCTGGTGCAGGAATTGAGGGAAGGTCAGTCTGATAATACCTTTTATCAGCAGGGATATGGCTTCTCTTGCAGTCCTGGAGCTGGGGACTGAGAGAGGCCATGGAGCGTCCACCCAGCATTGCTGCTGAGTTGCTGTGCTGCCACCAAGGCCTTTTTTGGGGGGTGTTATTATAATTTTGAGGTACTGTAGAGCTACCTCAGCAAAATCTTCTCCTGGCCTTTAACAGAAGGAGCTGCAGAGATGCAGAGAGTAATAACTCACAAGCCATTTGTAAGACAGCAGTGTCTTTAATTTGCTGTTCTACTAAAAGAAGCAGGCACGATAATTTGGCAGCTTTATTTAGGTGCAGTGGTATCGTGGGTTTAGAGCCATTGTCTTCTTCCAGCCTGAAGCTTCATGATTTCTGTCTTTTGTCAAGTCCAGGGGCAGCCTGCCTCTCTCTGCCATGAAATATGATGGACTTCCTGCATCCCAAGAGACCTGCCAGGGGTGGAAACAGCAGCATTTCTCTCTCCCTCCCCTTCATAGGCCTTGCTCTGGGTATTGCCCACAAACCTTTCACTGTGACCTTGAAAAGGAAAACCTGCTTTCCTACCATAACTCTTACAACACTTCAAAAAGCAATTTATTTTTAACTTCTTTTTTTTTTTAAACTATTTAAAATTACAGGTGTGATTTTGGAATCAGAAATTCCCCAGGAGTTAACGACCAGCCTGAGATTCCCCACCCTGAGCTGCTGCAGGTTCCTGCTCAGCACCTGATCCTGCCTGAGCTCCATGCATGGAAGTTGGGAGGCGTTCATACCTGATGGGAAATGGCCTTTGTGCCTGGCACCACAGCTTAAATATTCCCTCTGGGTTTGTCACCTGGGTGGGAAGCTCCAAGTGCACCAGGATGTGGTGGATTTACGGGGTCTGGCATTAAAGCACGGCCAAGCTCACCGAGTAGAGTCTCACTCTCCTTCCAAAAAGGAAACAGGGAGCACTGTCCTGCCTTGCCTCCCTCTGCATTCCTACCCAGAGCAGAAGGAAAGGGAGGTGGGTTTGGCAAACCAGTGAAGAAGGTAAATGGGATCCTGGTACTGACATCACCGCGTTATTGATGCCATTTAAAGCAGGTTGCAGCAGCTGGAGGCTGGATGTAACCAGCCGGCACATCGTGTTCCAGGCAGCGAGGGGAAATTACGGATGGCTTCGGAGCAGAGTGAATAAACTCCCCGCAAGATCTGCTTCAGCTTGCTCCAGCAGCAAGTGCCATGAGTTTAATTGGCTCTAACAGGACCTCACTGAGTACCAGCCGGGTGGATTTGTGCTGTTTAATGCCCCCTGTCTGGGGCTGTGGCACGCGTGGCACAGGCGGGGGCTCCGAGCCCAGGACTTGGAGACAGCGATTCCCAGGCTTGGCTCGGGCACTGTCACTGCGGGAATTGCCTACACTCGACCCCCCCACACACAGAAAAGATGGCAGCTCTCTCCTAAATCACAGGCAAGTCCTGGGGATGACTCACAGAGCAGCTTCACGTGCTTCGGAGACTCACTGGAATTTTTCAAAGCGCCAGGCTCTGGCTTAATTCGGCTTTGTCGGAGTTCGCTGCCCCTTGGGAACAGGTAAAGGGCCAAGGGCTGTAGCCTGGGACACCTGCCCTCAGAATGCACAATCCCAGCTCCACTCAGGCTTATTAAATGTTTCCAGCCACACCTTGATGAAGTCAACCCTTAGCGATGCGTCTTTGAACAAGATTTACTTTCTTTTTTTTTTTTTTTTTTTTTGGTAACAAATAGTTTTATAATGAAACTTGAAAACACGGTGCATTGGGGTTTGGTAAAATGTGAGCAGAACAAAACCTTCTCCTATTTGAGAAACCTGGCAGGTGAGAGTTGCCAGGAATTCTGAACTCCTGTGCTTGAGGCACCTTTCCTCCGAGGTTCTCCAAAGGTGGATGTGTTCTTTATCCCTGTTTTGTAGGGAGGACTGGGGGCACTGCAGGAGGTGATGAGCAGTGACTCCTGGCACATCTGGAATTTGGAATCCCAGAGCATTGCTGGGCACGGATGAGGCACCTCGAATCCTGGGGCAGTTCTGGGGCCCTCACGACAAGAGGGACATTGAGGGGCTGGAGCGTGTCCACAGGAGGGAAGGGACTGGGGAAGGGGCTGGAGCAGCTGAGGGAGCTGGGGGAGCTCAGCCTGGAGAAAAGGAGGCTCAGGGGAGACCTTCTGGCTCTGCAACTCCTTGACAGGAGGGGGGACCCGGTAGGGGGGTAGGTCGGGCTCTGCTCCCAGGGAACAAGGGACAGGATGAGAGGGAACGGCCTCAGGCTGTGCCAGGAGAGGTTCAGGTTGTATATTAGGGGAAATTTCTTCACCCCCATCCCTGGCGGGATTTAAAACCCATGTAAGATGCTGCACTCGGTGCCGTGGGTTAGGGGTGTCCTCGGCAGTGCTGGGGGAACAGCTGGACCCGATGCTCTCGACCGGGGCGGTGGATGCTTTCCCAACCTGAACGATCCCACGCTCCCACCCCATCGCTCCCCGGGCTGTGCGTGCCGGATGCTCCGGGCGGAGGATCCCCGCAGCCCCTCCCCGGAGCCTCCCGCCCCCCGCCCCGCCCCGCCCCGCCCCGCCCCGCCCGCCGCCCCGGCCCGGCGCGGAGCCGGTGGGTGCCCAGCCCGGCGGCGCTCGGAGCCAGCCCGGCGGCGCGGGCACCCGCCGGCAGCGATGCCGCTCGCCCAGCTCGCCGAGCCCTGGCCCGACATGGAGCTGGTCCATCTGGACCCGGAGGTGAGCGGGAACCGCCGGGGCGGCGGGCGGGGGGCTCCGCCGAACAAAGGAGCGTCCGGGTGGGACCCCGGCGGGACCCCGGCGGGGCGGGGGATGCGGTGCCGCCCGCCCCGAGCCTCTCCCCGGGGCTGGAGGAGCGCGGCTGCCGGAGCCGAGCGCTGCCGGGGCCGCTCCGGGGCTCGGTGTGCGCGCCCGGGGCTGGGGTCGGGGCACCGGGGGGGAATGCCGGGCTCGCCGCTGCCCTTGCAGGCTGTGATGGTTCGGGGAGCGCAGGCAGCGCTTCCAAATCTCCCGGGCACGTTTCCTCCGTTTTGGTTTTTTTTTTTTTTTTTCTTTTTTTTCCGTGGAAGAACGGACCCCGCTGAAGGCCCAGGGGGATAAATATCTCAATTTTGGTGGTGGTGTGGTTTTTTTTTTTTTTTATTCCCGCGGTCTCCCTCGCCCTCCAAGCCCCGGCTGCTCGCACAGGCCTGCGCTGCCAACTCCGATCTCAGTCCTGTGTCACTTCGCTGGACGTCTGCTCTTCCCTCCCGCTTGGCTCCTTTTCCTCCTCATTAAGACCCCCCAGCCAGATGTGCGGGATGGTGCTCAGCCCCTGTCCGCGTCCATGGCTCGCGCCACAGCCATTTCCCGATGAAGGGACAGCTTGCAGCAGTTGTCACCCTCTGCAGAGCAGCCGGCTGAGGCACTGTGCTCTGCAACTCTTTAGTTAAACATCTCATCCAGATTGGCACTAGCAGCTCTCCTGGAGAAATCAGAGGGAAGGTGGGGATTTTGTCCCCAGGTGTTTAGCAGTCTGTGGTGCTTTCCCATCGTTCTGGCAGGATTTGATGCCGTCACAGCCCTTTATCGTGCCTGGGGATGTTGTGATGGCTAATCAGTCAGATTTGCTCGTTCCTATTTAAAATTACCTCTTAAAAGATCTCTGCTTGGAGTGCGGGCAGCGTTTCAGCCCTGCTGCAGGGACAGCGGGGAGGTGTGTTGGCCACCGGAGGCGAGGTTTCCTAATTTTCATCAGCCAGGTGTGGCACAGCTTCCCCTGGAGCCCCCCGTGCAGGTGGGGGCTGTGTGAAGGGTCTGCCTGGGCCAAGGGTGAGGAGCATCTGCTCGGAAGCATCGCTGGAGCCACGGGGATGAGTTTGTGCTCCAAGGTGGGAGAGGAGGGAAGTCCCGCGGCGATTCCCGAAACCACACCGCGCGCCCGGAGCCAGGGCTGGGAGACAGGGCTTTTTATTTGTGGTTTCTCCCTTCCTAAGTAGGGAGACGCCTGAGAAGCCAGAAAACGCCACTAGACTCACAATGGGAGGAAACTAACGCCAGCGCCCAGGGCTGTGGATGCCGTGGGCGAGATTTCATTGACTCCCTAATCCCGGGTCCCCCAGGTGCCAGCCGGGCTCTGTGTCAGCACCACGGGATCGCTTCCGAGAGGAAACGGCCCGGGGGGATGTCCCGTGTGTTTGTCAGCCCGAGTCAGCTGCGGGGCTCCCGGGGGCAGCGGGGACTGTTTTCCTCATTGCACCGGTAAGGGGTGTGTTAATTGTAAACTGAAACTGGAGGGAGCCTCTGGCTCTCCCCTTCCCTCGCCTCACCTTGGCCACAGGTCAGGGTCGGGCACCACGTGCGGGTGATACTTCTGCAGATCGACTTTGTATCTCGAGTTCTCGGGCGGGACATCAGCAGTTTAACTCCCTTTTGGGTTAAGGTGGTGAGCAAACACCCTCGATTCCGGCGAGGAAAATAATACAGGTGTTCTTCACCTCTGCACCTGGGCCAGATGTTAAAGAGCTCGCTGAGATCCAGCACTACCTGTGAGCAGTGCAGAGGGACTAAAGCTCGGGAGGAGTTTTGCACCTTCAGGCTAAAATCGCCGAGGGTAGGGGCCCAAGGGGGAAGTTTTCACCGCTCCTGGGAGAGGTGGCACCACTGAGAGAGCGAGGAGACTTTTCTGGAACACCAGTTACGTAAATTGCCCTGGGATCGCTGCCATCCAGGTTAGAAACCGGCTTCCTCCGACCTTTGCTTTCTGAGTCACGGAGCAGAGGTGCTGTCACCGCGCTGGTGGAGGCATCAGTCCTATTGTTGAGGGATTTGGGGTTTTTCCACTGTGTTCCGGGAGGATTGGCCCTCTGGTGCCCCGTGTCCCAGCCCACTGGAGCTCAGCTGTGCCAGGGAAATGCGTGGGAGTGGGTAACAGTGGGAGCTTGAACTGATTCCTTGCAGGAGCCACGTCCTTCAGTCCTGGGGACTGAGCTTTGTAATACTTTTTCCTTCTTTTTTTTTTTTTTTATTTTTGATTTTTTATTTTTCCCCATTCCGTTTATATTATTCTGAATATTGCTTATGTAGTAGAAAAACCTGGCTGGGTCACAGTACGAGCGCTGGAGGATGGAGTTGAATGACACAGAAATCCTTCCCTGTGAGGGTGGGGAGGCCCTGGCACAGGTTTGCCCAGAGCAGCTGTGGCTGCCCCATCCTTGGAAGTGTCCAAGGCCAGGTTGGACGGGGCTTGGAGCAACCTGGGCTGGTGGAAGGTGTCCCTGCCCATGTCCTTCCCAACCCAAACCATTCTGGGATTCCGTGCTTCCATGATTTCATCCCCATAGCGATGGATCCGTCATCAGGGCTCTGCTTTGCTTTAAATTCTTTTCTCATTACCCAAACATCCAGCGACGCAACTGACGTGGGATTACGCCAAACTCAACCACTTCAAGCTAATTATTTTTGCCTGTATCATTCTTTACCGAGCAGGAGCTATTCATGAACAACTCCTTCTCAAGCATCGTAGCTGCACAATGCAAAAACTATGATCAAAAGACAAGGGAGGCAGCCGAGTGACTGTCTCTGATATGCTTTGTGCAGAGACTACCTCGGTCTGTTTGGGCTGCAGGAGTTCTCTTGGAGATCTCTATTATTGCAGAATGATTTCCTTTCTCTGATCTGCAATAGGCAAGATCCACACGCTCCACTTAATAACGATAATCATCATTTTAAAATTCCCTGTTCTTGCGTCAAACCAGCAGAAGCTCTGGGGTTGAAGGGGTTTTTTTCCCCCCTTCCTTCCTGCCTGAGTGCTTGATGGTTCATCAGAGTTGAGTGAAAGAGCATCTCCTGGGTGCCTGGTACCCAGGCTGTGTTTTGGGCATCTCAAAAAACGACTGGTCAGAAGGTCCAGAAATAGCAGCAGGCTGCTTTTCCAGGCAGAGCTGCCGGCAGCCCGGGATGACTTGTGCCAGTGGTGTAACCACAGAGCACAGCAGGAGTGGGGCACCATCCCCACGGTCCTGCCGGGGTGCCACTCGTCCTGCTTTCACATCAGAGCACACTGGCCTGGTCTGTAAATTGCTCCCTGTGCCGGGGATTATGCGGAATTAAAAGGATTTAAAACACAAGACGTCCTAAGATAGATATCTCCCAAGTTCAGCCAGGCAGTTGCGTAACTGAGCGCACTTGTTTTCCGGGATGCTTTTCTACCGAGGGAACTTTGGAGCACTGCGTGTGCAGGAGGGTTTTTTGTGTCACCCCTCGGGCAGCTGGAGGGGTCACTCACCCAGAGGTGCCCTCGCTGCCGGGCTGCTCCACGTGCCCATCAGATTAGCTCTGTAATCCCTGTTTCCGCTCACCCCAGAGCAGGGCAGGCTGGAAAGCTGCAAGGACAGGCCACTGCTCCCCCCTGGGAACCCGAGCCCTGCCCTGCCACAGCCTCTGTCAGCTCCTCACCGCCCCGAGGGAAGGAGCTCTGCCTTCCTCCTGCAGTACACGTTGCCTGCTTGCTGCCCGTGGGAGATCTTGGGGATTTTCTTGGAGTTGGGATATCCAGGAGGTTCCTTTCCAGCCCTGAGAACAGTGTGCTCTGAGAGGGCATCTGCAGGCAGGGAGGCAAACACACACGTGCCCTCGCTCGCTCTCTGTGCAGAGGGGAGGGCAGAAATAAAGCATTTTAAAGAGGCAAATGTCAAACCAAGAAACCCACAAACTGTTCCAGCTCTGCTTACGATGCGGTGAATGGTTGTGTTTTATCTTGGGGATGAGTCTGAACCGTGTGTTTCCATCTGGGACAGTTACAAATGGCCCTCGAATTCCATATGAGGGAATAAGGACTGGGTTTGCTCTGGGGTGGAAGGAAAGTGCTTGGCAGTTCTCTCCCACACATCTGCCTCATGTCAGCTTGAGAGTGCAACTGTTTCATCAGGAGCTTCATCCCTCTGGGACCAGGAAACCTCCCTGGCATGGGCACTGTTCTCTTTCTTTCCCCATCCCTTCCATCCCCAGGTAGGATGGATTTCTGTCTACAGCAAAGGTGTAGGACAAGCCTTCCCTGGAGCAGGGAGCTGACAAAACACAGCACTTGGGCTGTGGTGGGTCCATGGGTGGCACCTGGTGTCTCCCACCTTACCCTTGAAGCTGAAGGGTTGGACAGACCCTGACTGAACTCACTCCTCTCCTGACACCTGCCCTGTAGATCTGCTCTCCAGACCACAAGCCAGGCACTGCTTCCTTCTGTCCAACACAGAAATTCTGCTTCTTAAGCTGTTTCAGACAAAACCAGCCCTCCCCGAGCCCTGGTTTGGATTAGCAGCCAGTTAGGAATTGTTGATCAGTGACAGCTGAGCCAGTAAACAGCAGTGTGTGTCCAAGCCTGGTTATCTCCAGTGCTTGTGTCTCCCCCTTCGTTGTGGGGGCTGTTCATAAACACAAATCTTACTTCACTGCTCAGCTATTCTTTGTGCTGATGGCACCAAGAGCTCCCTGTAAACATCAGGACAACGTTCCTCTGGGGGAACTTGGCTTGTGTGGTGGTGCTGTTGCTTTTTTTTCAGTCACTGATTGAAAATACTCGTGAACTTAAGTTGGGAGTGAGGTGGGTTGTGGAGCTCGAAGTAGGTCCATAAAGATGCAAATATTGCAGAGCCAGAGTCAGGCTGGTGATCTCCTCTGTGATGTAGGACTGAGCTGCTCTCTGGGGCAGCACAGGTTGGACTGAGTGGAGTGACTTAAACATGAAGATACGTGGAAACTCTGGATTACTGTCTGTGGATTTGAAGTGTCTGAAAAATAAACTTGGGCTTAGATTCAGCTTTTTAGCCTTACACCTGTTACTGTGAGCCAGGCACGAGCAGGGAGCTGAGCAGTGTAAACCCAGCAGTGGTGGTTTCAAACCCTCCTGTGGGACGCAGGAGAGTGCCCAGTGAATGTTGCAGAAAGCAAGTGCAGCATTAGAGGGAAGTTTTCACTGTGGCCCCAAAGCTCTGTCAAGATCAGCAATGGTAAGTTTTGCTTGATATTAAAAGGTAGTGAGTTAAATTTGGCCCAAGGGGTGGAAGGGGATAGTGGAGTCCTGAGACAGAAGCCAGGCTGGTTGTATCACTGAGTTGTTGCTTCTCCAGCGAAAGAGTTGGCTTTGTTTCTGTCCATTCCTGAAAGGCTCTAAAACCCAGTCATTCCATTAAGAATCCGAGGCCAAAACACACTGGCATTGCAACTCTTCTCTTAGGCCATAACATGTGAAAAGGAGTGAATAAATTGGCCTTGTTCTTTTAGGGAAAGGGAGGAACTCCATGATTTTTTTGGAGCCTGCGACTGCAGTGCAAATAGGTGTCAAAGTCTTCTTGCCCTTGTTTTTCTCCACAGTCTGCAGAAAACCTTCTGTACGTGCTTATCCTGCTCTGAGTATCTGTGTCTTAATGAAATCCCACCCACTTCTGCTGCCGCTGGTTTCTCCAGCGCTGAACCTGATCCCTCCCGTGTTCCCCGTGACGGGTTGGTGCCACTCCACGTGGCTCAGGTCACCTGCTGTGACTTTGTGCAGGGCTGGACCCCGGGGCCAGGCAGGTGGGGCACAGTTCCTGCAGCCTATCAGCTGGGATAGGGTAATAAATAACTGATAAATGTTCCCTTTAAAGCCGGTGTCACGGCACAATGGCTGTTGACTGCTGCACCAGCCTCCCTGCTCGCTGCTTCCAGTAGTCTCTCCAGAGGGATAGTGGAGGGAAAGCCACGGTGTGGGTGCAGGAGGGGTGGGATGGATCATCCTGCACCCACCACCTCAGGGCATGGCGTTCACCCCACAAGCAACATTCGGTGTCTGAGGAGCCCTGATTTCATCTGAGGGGCTGGGGGAGAGACTCTCTCTGGGCAAAAACCTGTTTTCAACAAGTTAAAAGACAAGAGCCCCCTCGATATATGGCAACCACCTTGTGCCACGTCCAAAGTGCCACCCTGCCCCGTTTGTCCCCCGTGAAGGGCTCCCAAAGCCACCAGCCTTGGCAAGGGGTGTGAGGAGCGGCCCCGTGGCCAGCACGTGCTAACAGCAGGTTCTCTTCCTTTGCAGAACGGGCAGGCAGCTCCAGAAGAAGGTGGAAACCCTCCAGCCAAGGTAAAACTGCTCCAGGGTTACATCTCCAAGCCGTCCCTCCGAGGTGGGTGGGGGGTGTGAGCTGGCTATTTATAAACCCCGTAAGCTGCTGCGCTGCGATCGGGATGAGTGCGCCTGGCAGCGCGAGGGACTGGAGATGGGCAAGAGGAAAGACAAAAACCCCCCATTTTCCTGTCCCTTTGGGCATCCAGACAGGCCTGGGAGGTTTCCCAAAGGGCTGCCTTGGTCCAGCACACGGGAGCAGGACTGGAGGCCAGAGCTGAGGGTGAGAAGTGAGAATCCCTGGGGTGTTTCGGTGCCGTGTTTACGCCTCTCCCTGTGTTGTGATCTTGCCAGGGGGGATGAGAAGTACAAGAGCATTTGATGGTTTTGGCACAGCTGCCCTCGCTGAGTGCCTGGTATCTGTTTATTCTCTTGCCTTGGTGGGGCTGGGAGAAGCTCCACTTCTGCCAAGTTGCCCTTTGCGTCCCCATCGGCATCAGCTGGGAATGGCAGAGGGAGCTGAGCTGCTGCCTTCCACGTTTTGGGCAAGGGTCTTAACCTGCTACTCCTTCTTCAGGCACCTAAAGCTCATCCTGCCCCACACACGAACAGCCTGGCATTGAAGGACCTAATTTCTCTGACGTGAGCCCTCCCCAAAGTACAGGACTGAGCGCTGATGCTGTTACAGCATCCTAATTGTGCCCGTTCCTCTCTGCCCTGCAAGACACTCCAGAGCAGAAGAGCCATTTCAGTACCGTGAAATCATAATCCTTTCAGGATTTCCTTTCCTGATCCATAACACGCTCCAGCTGTGGAGAATGACACAACATGTTTGATTTGCCCTGGGCGACCTTGCCGAGCAGGTTGTCAAGAGCTTGTCGTGTGCTGTACCCTCAGCGAGGGCCCCGTGGCAGCTTCTCCCTCTGAATCATCGTCCCTGCTGAAGGCTCTGGGGGCTTGTGGTGTTGTTTTTCCAGTTGGTCACGTTGTATTTTTAGTAAAAGAAATTTCAAGCTAAAACCCAATTTTCTATGTTTCAGTCAGGTTTGTTTTTTTTGAGGTTTTCTTTTCCCCCCCTGGAATTTTTGGGGATTTCTAGCAGTGCTGTTGCATCCCACTTGCATGTTCTGCTTTTCTGTCCCACTTGCTGGCCTGGCACTTTCCCAGCAGCCTGCAAGGAAATCTGGTGTGGGTCAGATGAAACTCAAGTCACCGAAACTGTGCATTTCCCTCCCCTGACAACAGTGGGTTTATGGTTCCTCACTGTGCCTGCATCTCTGGCATGGGGAAAAAAGTAATCTGTGTCTCCTGGTTGGATTCCAGCCGGGTTTCTAAGACTCCAGACTTTGCCTCTTTCATCTTCAAACACTTGGCTAAACTGCCCTCCCCTAAAAGCTGCTGCAGGATGTTGCTTTAAAAATCATTTAAGATTTTTTTTTTTTTTTCTTTGAAGAACATCACTGAGACAAACCCTGGCTGATTGCATCTTGTAGATGCTGCCCCACAGAAAGATCATGAGATAGAGGCCAAAAAGCAGTTGCTCTGTGTCTGTGGGACACGGACGTGAAGTCCAAGCTGGAGCAGAGCAGTGGGCAAGTTGTCCAACATCCCACAGCAGGGAAGCCACAAGAGCCCTGTGCTGGTGCAGGTGTCCTGCTTTCCATTTTTCTGAGGCCCCACGGCCAAAATGCCCATGAGCAGTGTCTGACAATCCCATTTTGGGTAATTCTGAACACACAAAGCCCCGCTGCGTGGTCCCGAAATAACCTCGGCGGCGTTTTCCAAGTTTGTACAAGGTATGTTTGCCACCAGCACGAGCGAAATCCCTCCTATAAACACATACCTTCGACTCGAGGGCAAGCTCTGCCCTGAGATGCTGCAGATGGGGGCACAGGCAGCACCCAGAATATCTGTGTTTTTCAGTTCACTTGGAGTGTAGACGTCAGCAGCAGCTTCTGGCACTGGCGCTACCCACAGCAAGGACTGAGGCAGGAGAAGCGAGCGGCCGTCACCATCTGAGGTGACTGTTCTCGAGCTGAAGGTTGCTCAGGCTCCCTCCCACACCCTTCTGTGCTGTGTGTGGAGAGCTGTAGGGGGGAGAGGCACCTTTCTTTCCAGGTTTGTACTCGCTATCCTTTTGCGGCTCGTTCTGTGATCTCTTCTAAAAATAACCCGGAGCAGCGACAGCGGCGATTACTCAACACCCACACAGCGGCACCGTCCCTCCCCTGTCCCTGCCAGCGTCCCTCCCCTGTCCCTGCCAGCGGGATGCTGCCAGGAGTGCAGTCCTTATTTGCCTGGGCAATAACCAGAGGCACTCTGCAGAGGAGGGCATCCAAGAGTTCCTCAAAAGAGCCGGGAACTCCACGGCTGGTAGCGCGAGGTCGGTGGCGTCGGACGCCTCCGTTGGTGTCTCGCCTGCTGTTGTTGCACTTCTGGGTCTTTGGGCCTGAAACACGATGAAATGGTCACTGCAGAGCTAGTGAGGGGATGGTTTTGGCCTTGTTCAGGGACTTTCTTGATGCTTTTGTACCTCCAACTCAGCTTCCTACTGAGGAAGCGCTGGTGCATTTCACAACCTCCTGTGGATTCCACCTTTCAAGAACAGTTGTGGTGCACAAGTCCCTGCAAGCCCCGTTCCTTGGTGCGTTTGCCTGCGTGTCTTGGGAATGCCTGCGAGATCCTTGTGCTGGTTTGGGCTGGGCAGAGTTAATTTTCTTCACGATGGCTGTCGTTTGGGATTTGTGCTGAAAACAGGACGGTCACATCCCTAAACGCAGGCTGCTGATCCAACAGTGCAGGAGCAGGAGCCTTTGGCAAATTTAGGTGCAAGGATGGTTTTTTTTCTCATCCTCTTTGGTGGTTGAAAGCTGCTTTGCCCAGGGCTGGTCGGCAGCGCTGTGCTTTGGTCCTGGGTGCTGAGCCTTGTTCTCCTCTGCGTTCTCCAGATTTTAATTGCCAGGTTGGCTGAAACTGGTCCTTGTTCAGCTGGGGAACAGCGACTGAATTCAGTGGGAGAATGGAACCTCTCATGTCCGGGGTTTGCCAGCCTGCTCTGCACCCAGCATGGCTGAGGGGTGAGCCTGTGCTCCCTGAAGGTGCCAAGTGTGAGGAATTATGCATGGAAGTACAACACCCAATTAGAGAAATCACTTCATAATGAAAAGCAGAGGAGTGGATTTGCAGTGCTGAGTGAGCCCACACTCTCCCAGGAGGGAACGTGGCGAGGGCTGGGGGTGCTGATCAGCTTGTTCCTGGGTGATAATCACAGAGCACAGTGAAAACTGGGGAAGGGAATAACTAAACCCTTCCAGCTCTGCACCATAAAAGAGACCTTTGAAACTGGAGTGAGGGCTGGGATCCTGCACATGAACCAGGCACAAGGTGCCCCACCTGCTCAGGCTGTGGGAATGCAGCAGAGGGGAAGACAAAGCTTCTTCCCAGACCTGTGTAGCTCCTGCTGGTTTATCCTCATGTGCTGACCAGGTAAAGCTTGCAGAAAGGTCCTTCCCCTGCTGCATCTTGCAAGGGCGTGAAGGAATGCTGGGCATGGACAGCTCTGGCCAGTGAAATACCTGTATTACCAACATTACCATCAGTGTGTGTTGTTCTGGACAGAATGATAGAATCACTGAATGGTTTGGATGGAAAGGGACCTTAAAGCCCATCTTGTTCCACCTTCCACTAGCCCAGGTTGCTCCAAGCCCCGTCCAGCCTGACCTGTGTGCCCAACAAGGGTCCAGGTGAGGGAGAGCCCTCGTGCCAGCCTTGCATGTGAGCTCCAGGCTGAGAGTGGTGTGTGATCCCTGTCAGAGCTGGACACCACTAATCACAGCCTCTTAAAGTGGAGGGTTTCAAAACAAACAAGTGGCTGCCCTGCAGTGAGCTGCGTGTGTTTGTTCAGCTGCTGCTGCTTTCTCCAACAACTGGGCAGCTGTGGAGCTGTGGGAAGGGGCAGGTCCCTCAGCAAATCCCCTCTCAGCCCACTGCCCCTCTCCTGCTGCTTCCAGCCAAGAGTGCTCTGGCCAATCTGGTCCCCCCTGGCAGGGGATAACCTGGTGGGGGCAGAACCTCTCGTGGTGCTGCCTGGAAATCCGCCTTTCCCCCTGTCCCGCAGGGACTGGGCTGCAGCTACGGCTGCTCCCTCAACGTTTGGCTTTTCCAGCCTGTTAGTGCTAAAACTCCAAGTTTAAACTGGCTGCTCAGTCCTGTCAGCTGAAGGAATCAAGTGGGTTTGTTTCTCCAGCAGTGCCTGACAGCTCCCAGCCTGTTCCTGGCAGAGTCTTTGCTCTCCGTCCTTGGCAGGGCCGGGCTTTGGGGAACAGCAGCTTTCTGAGCTCTTAAAAAACACAAATAAATGCCTGTTTGAGGAGCAGAGTGTCTGATGAGCTGCAGGCTCTAATGAATAATTGAAGAGGGGTCAGTTTACAGGACTTGCACAGGAGGAATGCGGCAGAGGCTGCGGAGCAGGGCTCCAGCAGCCCTCCCACGTGGTGCCCCAACCCACCCAAACCACTCTGGTTTCTTCCCTTCCATTTCCACCCCCCTCGTGGGTTCACAGAAGCTGCCTCATGTTCTGTCTCTAGAAAGCCCCTTTCACTGAAGGAGACAAAAATTTTTAAAAAAATCATGAAAATCGGTTACTTTGTGTTGTACCTGGAGGAAATCTGTGATTCCTTCTCTCTGTCAAAGAGCTCCTGATCCCACAGGGAAGCGAGGGATCCTCCTGCCACCCTCTCTTTTCCCAGGCTGCTCCTGGCAGTCTGAGCTGGGGGCACAGGATTGCTGGAGTTGATTTCTTTGTGGATACAGGAGGCAGAGCTCTGCCAGCACTTCCCCAGAGCCACAGAGGAATCACGGGCTCCTCTCCCAGACTGAGGGAAAGGGAGATGGAGACGGGGAATGGGGCAGTGGCAGCTCCCTCTGTGCCAGGGACAGTGGTGAGGGCTGGCACTGAAGAGGACCTAGAAGAGTTCAACCAGAAGAACTCATTCATATTTGATTTTTGAAGGGATCAG